TATATATATATATATATATATATATATATATATATATATATATATATAAGTTACGGGTTCAGATCGGATCGAATTGTATAAGCAAAAAAATCAAATTATTTTTAAAGACATTCTTGATTTTGATTTATGATATAAACAACAATCAGATAATCAATTCACATTGAAATTTTAAAACAATAAAATACCTAGTGTGAACAATCATGAAACAATAAAAAAAATAAAAAAAAATTCACTAAGTATTACCAAACATTCGATAGCTTTCCCTTTGATGCTTACGTAAAAAACATTAACAAGTAATAATTAGAAAAAGAAATAAAAGGAAACCCAATGCAATTAAACTTACAACTAAATTATGAATATTCAGTTCACGAATTCCAATAGTGATTTGACGCTCATGGAATATTGGAATCGGAAATAAAATTTCCATATAGTTTAACCAAATTTCCAAAAAGTTAACAAAGTAGAATATATTTACCGGCGGTTGCAAATTGGATCTTCGATTATTAAAAATTGAAGATCGAAGGTTAACATGCTGTGAAACGATTGATTTGTGATTCAAATTTTTTATTTTTTTTATTGTAAATTTTATTTGGCTATGCACATTGGATAATACATTAAAAGATATTGGGCTATTAAAATTTATGAACTTCAAAAATCTAATTTATACACTTTTTTTTATTGCCAAAATATTAAGGTTGTTCATTTGCATTTTTTTGAATAGGTCACAATTTTAAGTTTTATATAACTTGTTATACAATAAAAAAAAGGTGGGTCAAGTGACCCACCATACTTAAACGTAAACTCGCCAGTGCGGACAAGTGCCGAGAGCCACCTCCTGGTCTTCCATGCAAGTATCACAAAGACAACTAGCATATTATCTACACACACACACACACACACACACACATATATATATATATATATATATATATATATATATATATATACACACACACACCTATATGCCAGGGTCCGATTCCTGGTCTTGCATACAATTTGTCGGGAGCCACCTCTGGGTCTTTCATATAAATGTCAAGGGTCACCCCCTGGTATTCCTATATATCATAAGCCAATGGGCGGCATTGGTGTCTTCGACCCATAGTATAGTGAGGAGACTCACCAAAAGCTGTTGAGTATCTCAGATAAAAGCTTGGACTGCTGATCCAGAAAATCCCCGTACTAGCATCATCAAATAATACCCAATTAATAATTAGTCCACAACCCATAGCTGGAATCCTAGTCCAATTGTCCAACACTAAGGATAAAAGTCCATTTTACCCTTTCCTTACTTAGCCCAAAATCCGAGGCCCAAACCAATAACACCAAAAAGCCCAATATGGCCAAACTTCCTAATTGGGCCCAAAACCCATCATGGGCCTAATCCATGAAGGCCCAAATTCCTAAAAGACACCGAAAGCTCCAGATGGGCCCAATCACAAGAAGGCCCAAAGACAGAAAACTAAGGCCCAAAAGCCTAAAACCACATCTCACGTCGTGACCAGTCCTTGGTTACATCGTGAAAGCTCACTCGATCTGATACCAACTCATCACGACTTAACCTAGCCAACTCAGTCAAGGAATAACACCTGAGCTGACCTCATAACGTGGGCATATTTTCCTCACATCGCGAGAACCAATAAGCTCATCAGAAACGGAATCAACCACTCCTCGCGTCGTGAGACCTTGTGTCTCACATTGTGAGAAAAGTCTGAGGCCAAAAATCCAACTCTAAGTCCTTAATCCATTAAGCCTTGAACTATAAGTTTCCAGAAGGTCTTATAACCTCTTAATACACTAGACAATGGTGAGATTACATTTAAGTATGGTGGGTCACTTGACCCACCTTTTTTTTTATTTTTGTATAACAAATTATATAAAACTAAAAATTCTGACCTATTTAAAAAAATGCAAATGAACCACCTTAATATTTTGGCAATAAAAAAAAAGTGTATAAATTAGATTTCTGAAGTCCATAAATTTTAATAGCCCAATATCTTTTAATATATTATTCAATGTGCATAGCCAAATACAATTTACAATAAAAAAAAATTTGAATCACAAATCAATTGTGAAGTTTCACAGCGTGTTAACCTTCGATCTTCAATTTTTCATAATCGAAGATCCAATTTGCAACCGCCGGTAAATATATTCTACTTTGTTAACTTTTTGGAAATTTGGCTAAACTATATGGAAATTTTATTTCCGATTCCAATATTCCATGAGCGTCAAAAAGTCGACAAAGATCACTATTGTAATTCGTGAAGTGAATATTCATAATTTAGTTGTAGGTTTAATTGCATTGGGTTTCCTTTCATTTCTTTTTCTAATTATTACTTGTTAATATTTTTTACATAAACATCAAACGGAAAGCTATCGAATTTTTGGTAATACTTAGTGAATTTATTTTTCATTTTTTTATTGTTCCATGATTGTTCACACTAGGTTTTTTATTGTTTTAAAATTTCAATTTGAATTGATTATTTGATTGTTGTTTATATCATAAATCAAAATCAAGAATGTCTTTAAAAATAATTTGATTTTTTTGCTTATACAATTCGATCCGATCTGAACTCGTAACTTATATATATATATATATATATATATATATATATATATATATATATACACACACACACACACACTATCAGTTTCATTTAAATAGTGAACCATGTGATTTTACGTTGTAGACTTGCCACTGCTTGTCCGTAAGACCCAGGGTTTTGGCCCCCCGGCTTGGCAAGGAAAGACCATGATGCTGCTCATGGCATAATGGCAAGTTAGGAGAGATGCCTTTGTACGCCTGTTGTTTGAGCTTTAGAATTGCATGTTGTCACACCCCCAAACCGAAACGGCGGAAACGTTCGGGGGCGGAGGACGTCATGTATAGTATCACAACAATTGAATAATAGTAATCAAAGCAACAACAACCATTGTATTAATAGTATAGTGTTTACATTTCATTTGAATCATACACGATTGACTACAAAAGTAAATACAAGTAAATACTCGAAACTACAATGCTCCGTCTTCTTGAACCCGGTGCGTGTACCTGTCTACTAATGTCTTGAGAATACAAGTAGGTTTTGAAAGAGTGTCAGCATAAAGCTGGTGAGTTCATAAGCTTTTTGTTTTAGAAAACTGTTCTTTGTCCTTTCGAAAAGTACGTTATGTTTCTCCAGAAAACCTTATATTTTCTAATGTAATGAATGTAAAAACCTTAAGTAAAAATGATTCTTACCAGTTCCTCCTGCGAGTACTTAGTGTATACAAATCATATACAATCCATATCGAACAAAACAATCGATTGTGTGGTTCTGCCCCAAGCCCACAACCAAACAAGGAACAAGAAAAGAGGCGGAGACCACACATTCCACTGGTTGTCGGATCCACATGTACATAATCCTGAAGTGTTCACTAGATACTTACAAAGTTATCTGTATTGATTCTTTGATATCTGTTGAAAGTGTTCCTCAAGAAAATCCATTATTTTCTTATTGAATGCATGATTAACCAATTCTTTTTATAACTACTTAGCTCATACTAGCTATGTATAAAC